CAATTTGTAAAAACCGTAAACACTACTATCATCCGTCTTAATCTTATGAATTTTTTTCATGAAATTGTTTAATCTTGTGAAATTGTTTCATTTAATACTTTTTTTGATGAAGTTATTTCATATATGGTTATGAAATTGTTTCACATATTACTTAATGAAATTTTAATGAAACTGTTTCATGTATTTCTCTAAAATTAAAATAATGAAGATGATAATATTCATGATTAACATCCTACACAATAAAAATGATTAATCAACTTCTCATAATTACAAAAAATGAACAAAATAAAAAATTATTATTGGTGGAATGAAGTTTTTATGGGTTTTACAAATTAAGTGGTTTTCATTAGATCGCTCCCCTATATATATAGAGAGAGAGAGAGTGTGTGTATTTTTTAATATTCTAACAAGTTTTGATGGTTCATAAGTAAGTATTTTAATGATTTATAGTTACAAACATAAAGGAAATTTATTTACGAACTCCCATTATAAATTAAATATAGGGGTATAGTAGGGAGTATAATTAAACACCTGCAAGTAAGTACCATGATGGAAACAAAACCAGTGATCACACTGTCTTAGCGGACGTACGTATGTATGTACGTATGTATGTGAGTATATGAGTTCAAATGAGAATATCACTAATTTACGAATGCAAAAACACTCATATCATATGCAATATAACCCAGTGATGTGCTGACTACTTGACTGTACCTCTGATTTAATATCATATATATATTACATTTAATTTGCTATGACTATTTTCGTGTTTCCTAAAAGGTAGTGTTTTCATCTCACACCTATATATACGGATATACTCATGCTCTTCTTGTACAATTATAAGCTTGCAATTCGTAGCATATCTCTCTCTCTCTCTCTCTCTCTCTCTCTCTCTATATATATATATATATATATATATGCTATGTAACATACTTATTGAAATTTATGTATACAAGGCCATTTCCAATCCAACCATTAAAATACCAAAATTTTTGCAAATATTGATCAATAAGGAAAACAATTCAGTTCCAATCACACTCTAAAAAACATCTCTAATAATATTATTATTATTATTATGAGGAGAAGAAGAACAATAATAATATTATTTATTATTATATTATTTTATTAAAAACAATAACTATAATATGTATGCATGTTTAATTTTCAAAGACGAAAATAATGCATATTTTTCATTATGCTATTTTTCATTTTCAATAAAAATTTATAAAAACATTTTACAAGCTAAATACATAAGATAAATTGTTATGACTGAAAATCAATGTTAAATTGTATTCGTCTTGAAAGTTAAATTTGTCTATAATTGTTGTAAAAGTCATCGTGTTTGACTTTTCTAGAGATAGTTTGACTTTGACTTGGCTTACATGTTTGTCCTTATATAAAGGATAAGTCTTTTGTAATTGAAAGGATGAGCTCAATTGTAAAACATTATGTAAAGAAATAGATCTTGATTTGTTGACTATTTCTCTCATCTCTCATAGTGTTCTTAAAGTTTCTATTAATCTGTCATGGATTCTTACAAGGTTTATTGAAGATTGATCATTAAAGTAGACTTTCATAAATAAATTTCCAACTTAATAATTTTTTAATTAATATATTAAACATTTGTAATCAATCTATAAAACGTAATTATGAAAAATAATATGATAATAATATTTGAGTTATTAGATACCAATGCATAGATTTTGATCAAAAAAATTTACTAAAATAATTGTTAACATATTTTAATAAAAAATTTATAAATATATGTATTTAATTATACAAATCCAAAATTTATAATATCACCATTTAGTTTATATTAATTAATATATTATATTATTACTGATTTTTTTAAATATAGTATAAAATATTAAAATTGATTAATATTTTGACATGTTCTTTTCGGTATTTTCAACTAATTTTTGTTAAATATAATTAATTTTATCAGTTAAATTATCAACTACTTTGTTATACAGTTTTATTAACGGTTTAGGGATGTCTTCAAGACACAAGTTTTTATAAATTCATTTTTAATATTTTAAAGAATTCATCAATATGGTTTTGGTACATTTTCTAGATATATATATATATATATATATATATTAATTCATATAAAGAAAATAAAGAAAATAATAACAATATTAATTAAAAATAATGTTAAATAGTTATAGATAAAAGCTTAAAAAGTAATTTTTATTATATAAAATTGGATTTTATAAAGATGGAAATTAAGATGTCGATGCAACATCAAGAATATAATATTGGGAAATTAAACTCCAAGAGACAAGTCATAGACATCCAACAACCACCACCATCAAATCAAAATATTTCCAACCTTTAGTTAACAATATTGATTTGATGTCAATTATTAATTGTAAAACTACTATTAAACAACCAAACATTTACTTGTTAAATGTTTACCGGTAAAATTTAACACTATTATTTACTTATCGGATAAGATTTTAGTCCATCAAAACGACATTGTATGCAACAATTCACCCGGTAAGCGCTTACCGTGATAAGAGTCGTCGACCTCACTTACCGGGTAAGACTCATGGTCCTTGTCTTGCTCTTGCCAGATAAGATTCTTAATCATTATCATATTCATTCGGTGAGATAATGTGACTTGGTAAACGTTTTACCCGGATAAGTATTTGGTAAACGGCTCTTTAATTTAGAGAAGAAATGTAGAAGAATCGCCAAGTTTTTATAACAACTTGTATCTTTTGAATTTTTGTATAAAAAATTAGGTTTTTAGATGAATAATTATGATATCGATATATTTATAAATAAATGAGTTTATACATGTATTTTTTTATGTGGACTTTTAAATGAGTTTTTTCAACCGATTTTAACTTTATAGAATTTTATAAAAGTGTCGTATTTAAGTAGTTTAATTAAAGTAATTATGTTTAAAATAAAATAAATAAATAATATAAACTAAATACATAATCAAAAGTAATTATATTTTTTATTATTTAAATTAATATTTTTAATTTATATTGTACATATTTTTATACAATTTGATAATCCAAATTTTATTTTTGGTTATACATATATTTAAATTTAACTTTTTTAATTTTTATTGTACATACTTTTGTACAATTTTACGGATATATGCGTTGTCACCCAATATACAAAATTACATAAAAAGGTGAATTTTATTCATATCTCCTCCTATAAAATGTATGTGCATAATATAGGAGTAAGAACTAGGTGTATATGAATGAGGGGGTGTATGAATAGTAACCCTCTTTTTAATTTTGTTTTATATTTATTTCTCGATATAAACAAATATGTATTTTTATAAGTTTGAATATATTGATTTTTATAAATAAGAATATAAATGATATGAAGTTAAAATGACGATGAAAAAGCTTGAGAAAGGTTTTGGTCACATTGGAGGTATATTAAGTTGTTGTGTTGGCGATGATCTCGAAAGAAACGTAGAAGGTCCACGGGGCATGAACTTCTTTGCTTGATTGGTCATAGGTTCGAATCCTACTTAAGGAGAGGAAGAGGATTGTACCGGGAGAGAAGCAATGAGGTCGTAGTATAGAAAAGATATCCAAAAATATATAGAAATCACTATCTTACGCGGACATAGGTGGTACATGGCTGTCGTCAGCTCGTTACAAAAAAACCTTAGTTGAAAAACTCAACAATGTGGAGGCTCAAAAAACCTCCACTAAAAAGCAAGTCTTGATGTTGATATGTGTGAAAAAAATAATAAGTAATAATACATTTAGCAATATATTGGGGTGGATTTAGTCCAAAAAAATATTGCCACGGTTTCTGTATAAAGTTTGTTTTCAAGCAAAAAAAAAAGAATTAAAAAATACATTGTTGATTTTAATTAGTAAAAAATATTTATACTTTATACTTTTATAATTAATTATTTAATTTATTTATCATCTCTTATATTTATATTTTATATCCATATAATATTTAAGTCAAAGAATCTTAGGTATTTCCATCAAGTTTCATATATTTAATGGACAAATAAATAAATAAGGAGAAGAGAAGAGAAGAGATGCTTAGATTTGGTTAAATTAAATGGTTATTGGTATTACCAAAAAAAGAAAAAAGACACTGAAAAAGGTTGGAAAATTGGGGTCCAATTATGTCAGAGTCAGACTCAGAAATTGGTCTCCTTACTTTATAGTTTACACCCAACTCCATTATTCACCGTTTCAAATTTTCAATTTGTTTTAAATGTTTATTTAGATAAAAGAGGGGTGATTTATTATACAATTCATTACATTTGAATAATTAATATAATTTAATTTTAATTGTTTATTTAATTTAATAAATAAGTAATTTTACAAAAATTTTGATTGTTTTCTAATATAAAATATTGATCATAATCATCTTCCATAAATATTCAAATCATAATAAATGAATTCTCATCATTTTTATAAATATGAAAATTGATTGGGTTATATTGATTATACAAAAATGATAAGTTGCATTTGAAACGTCATATATATATATATATATATATATATATATATATATTACATTAATAAGCATTTAAATCAAAAGTCTTAGTTACAAGTCTCAAAGTATTAAGTACTATCAATTTATGCAAGAGGTTCAAAAATCTCTTAAGTACAAACTATTATGCATAATGTACAAATGCTTAAAACATACCCTTTGTTGGTCAAAATTTCAGATTTAAGTAAGCCATATTTACATGAAAAATGTATGTTTGGTCTTTCCAAAATTGTTTGACACTTTGTTTGTTTTCTATTTTGAACCCAAATTCAAATTCAAAGTTCTTCCTTCTCTTGAAGTTTTGAAGCAACAATATCATAAAGGGTTTTAGATCATGCATGTATCCCACCCCAACCGTTCAACTTTATATGCATTTAGAAACTCAACATGTGTGCAATTATTTTTCCAATCGATTTTACTAATACACCATATTAGCTTTCAATTTTATATATTAGTTGACTTGTAAAATAATCACATAAACTCATTATTCGAAGCTAAACTAATGTTTCGGAATTGTGATTCACCCGTGCTGCATCACGCAGAGTGTGTGCGTGTGTGCATATATATATATAGGGTTGGTTCATGTGAGATCAAGAGTTTTTCGTTAGACCCGTAAAACCAATTTATGTTCATTGATCAACTTTATAAGCTAATGATCTAATGGTCTAAAATTGCACGGTGACAATTTTGTGATTATTGAGAAGTCTCGTGGCAATTTTGTGATTATGAATGTTCAGATTGTAGATCTAATCCAAGGGTTGAGAATTGGTCTTACGGGTCTCACGAAAAACCCTTGGTCTCACATGATCCCAAGTCTATATATATATATATAAGGTTGGGTTCACGTGAGACCAAAGATTTTTCGTGAAACCCGTAAAACCAATTTATGTTCATTGATCAACTTTATAAGCTAATGATCTAATGGTCTAAAGTTGCACGGTGATAATTTTGTGATTATTGAGAAGTCTCGTGGCAATTTTGTGATTATGAATGTTCAGATTGTAGATCTAATCCAAAGGTTGAGAATTGGTCTTACAGATCTCACGAAAAACTTTTGGTCTCACATGATCTCATGTCTATATATATATTTAGGAGCCGTTTACTAAACACTTACTTGGTAAGTGCTTACGGGATAAATTTCTTTATCGGATGACCATGAGACGGGCCAAGAATCTTACTGGGTAAGAGCAATGAAAAGGATAGAGAGTCCTACTCGGTAAATAAGGATGACGACTCTTACCCAAGTAAGCACTTACCCAGTAACTTGTTGCATTCGATATATTTTGATGTATTAAAATCTTACGTATCAAAATAAATTATAATGTTGAATCCTATCGATAAGCACTTAACGGGTAACGGCCCCTTAGTTTTTTAATTAATAAAACCAAAAGAGAAGTTGTTGACATAAATAAGGTGTTTGAATTGAATAAATCTGTGACATGAAAACACAGGTGCAGATATGCAGTGAGTAGTTATGTGGATGGCGTTCGGGAGTTGGCATGTGAGCTTTTGGAATTGATGGCCAAAGGCTTGGGGGTCCCTCCCTCCTCCTTCAGCCATTTCCTCAAATGCTTCAACAGTGACTCCCTCCTCAGGCTTAATCATTATCCACCTGTCACTCACACCTCACATTCCTCCTTCCAACGTGGCATCATCGGCTTCGGAGAGCACTCTGACCCTCAGATTCTCACCCTCCTCGCATCCAACTTCGTGCCTGGACTCCAGATATCGTTGGGCAATGGCGTTTGGGTCCCTGTCTCACCGGACCCGCTGGCGTTTTGTGTCAATATCGGTGACGTCTTGCAGGCTATGACCAATGGAAGGTTTGTGAGTGTGAGACATCGAGCCATGGCTAACTCGTTACCTACCCAGTCCAGATTGTCGATGGTCTTCTTTGGTGCACCTCCGCCTGAAGCAACGATCGTGTGCCCACTACAACTGTTGAAACAAAACAAGCCGGTCTATAGAGCTTTCACTTGGGCCGAGTACAAGTCGCATACCTATGCTCACCGACTTGGTGAGGTTAGGCTCGATCATTTCAAGATTAGTGACGACGAAAAGGTTACTTAGGAAAAAGTAAACAAAAGAAAGCGACTCGTTGTAAATCCTCTCTTTTTGCAAATCCGTAACAATGTTGTTGAGCTTATTGTACCACTAATTTATGATATTGTACATTGTTTTGGATCTGTTAATGTTAATTCCCGAAAAAGGAAGGGGACTTTTGGGTGTTTGATTGATCGTTAGAAGACTCATGTTTCAAGTTGTTTGAAAAACCAGTTGATTGGTAGTTTCTACATCCAACATGTTGTTCACTTGTAAATTGTACGAGGTACGAGGGGTTACCGGTGTCAAATGAGAATCAAACCACTCTTTTTTCACATCGATTGTATGCACATCTACATATGCCGGATTTCGCTCTCTCAATATAATACTCGTATTTGTTAAAATATTGATATATTTGTCTAAATATAAATAATTTTTTTTTTTAAATTTGGATTATTAATAATCTTAGTTGCTGCTTTTCTACTTTTCTAAGTTTTCTTAGTTCTTATTGTTTAGTTGATTAGTGTAGTAGTTAGAGTGGTGCAAATGTGTTAAGTCTGCATTAATATTTTAATGATTTTCAAACAAATCAACTAATATTTTCTAAATCAATATTAACTAGCATATATATATATATATATATATATATATATATATTCAGTGCATAACATGGTCAATCTGAGAGAGAGAGAGAGAGAGAGAGAGAGAGAGAGAGGTACATACATGAAAGATGCCATATGCTACATGAAATATTAGGTCTAAAGTTGCTTCAAAGAAACTCTAAGTGTTAACTCTGAAGGTGAAGTCAAACCTTATGTCAGAGATCTGAAGCTGAAGGACTGAGAGCTTTGAACGTGAAGGATTAGAGGTTTGAAGAAAGTCTGAAGTGCTAATTTAGACTTATTACGTAACAAAGTTATCTTTTGTGATAGTATTTAGGGACTATACCGTATCAGAACACATGTCTTGTTCTTACTTGTTTGTAATTTACAGTCATGTGATTTTACAGTTTCCTTTATAATATAAATAGGAGTATAGAGAGTTTGTTTTGTATGTGAGCTTAATCAGTTAGTTCAGTTGATCTTTGTAATATTTCTCACACTATATTCTCTCCATAATCATTATGTGAATCAATGACATGATAACTACTTAATATCAACTTGTGTTCATATTTTGAGTGTTATCTACATCTATTGATTACTGTATTGCATTAGATCTGATTTTGGGACCTAATAGTTAATATCAGATCAAACAACTATGCATTTGAAGAAATTTCCCGATCATTTTCAAGAGTCAAATATACGGAAGACTAATTCGAGTTGTTGAAGATTTACTGTTGGTCCTAGATAAGTGATGACTTATACAAGAAGTGTTTGTAGAAGGTAAGGTTGAATACAAACACAATAGATTTTTTTTACTTTTTAGTTGTTTATTCTATATTTTTTGTATAAAAACAGAGAATTACATATTTCTAAGTGTTACAAAGATTTTGCATCTATTTGTATTACTAACAAATAAGGGGAGATTGTTGGTCTATGGAACTCCAGTTCCTTCGGAAATGGTAAGATATTTGGTGCAAAAAAAAAGAGGTACACTAGTATTAAGAACACCTTTCAAATAAGACCAAACCTGAGAGGTTACGAGGTCACTTAGTCGAACTATAAAGAAAGGGAGGCTTTTAAGGTTACGAAGTAAGGCAAAGACCCGCCCCTTGTTTCAGTCAGAATGAGTCCCGAGACCCCAAATTTCTAGTTGTTCCAAAGTCTTATAATCAATCGAATTCAGTTAAACTCTTCACAACTTATTAATGGATATAACCCTTCTGGAGGTTGTACAATAATAGTTAAAATTCCTGGTAACTGGATCGTCAATCATTTGATTTCATAATAACACAAATACATTTGATCCAACACTTGGAAATATTCCTAAAGTCTTCAATTAGAATCCTTCAATAGAATAACAAAACAACTCGGATTGCCTGTTATATTCGAATTGTACATCATGCTGTTTTTGCTAATACAGATTTGATAATCGGATTTGTAATATAGATTTAGTAAATGGTTGCATAATCTAGATTGATTAACCAGATTTATAATCCGAATTTGATGACATGATTTGTTATCTGGATTTGTGTACGGAATCTATCATCGGGACTAACCACTTGGATTTATCTTTGATAGCTTCCAAATTGTGTAAGGATTCAGATCATATTGTAAAAATGTTTATGCATTTGAACCAACTCAAGTCTGTTGGAATCCAAAGTATGACCTATATTTTGGAGGAAAAATAGAAAGGATTCTGATTGTAAAAAAGAACTCCTATTATTATATGTATTTATCCAAATAAAACATCTTCAAGAATAGTCTGACAAATACTACTTTTGGCAAGCCAATTTTTTAGTGCAAACTTAACAAACAAGTTTAGCTCACCAACTTTCATTCTAGTATGGGAACATGTTTAGCATGTCAGATGAATTAAGTTCAAATGTACTATTTTATTAATATCGTACTTCTTTACTGTTCCATTTGTATACAGAATGATGAGTTGTGTTAACAAACATCAACATCAGTTTCAAAAGGCTGAAATGAAGCGTACAAGCATGCACTGATCAGCAAATGTGATGAAGACACCCGTTAAAAGTTGGATAGCAATACTTAATGAAATAATGGCTATAAAATGTCATCTTTGTCAAATGTTGCAACTCACCCGTTTTGATAGAATATTCTGAATGGTAATTTATTAGGCAAAATCAGCATTAGCATCTGAAGATCATCTCAGTTGTTTAAAAAAACAATACATGTTTACATGATTGCATTTGAAACCCACAACCACCAAAGATGCAACAAGTTTACGAGTAAATTGACTAATGTCTGTCATGCATCTACAAGTAAATGCAGTTTTATGAGTTACAGTTTGTAGTCAACAAGTTAAGTCTCTCATTCGAGTCGATCGAAGTTTTTCGACTAGAAACCGGACAAGTTTTATCTTATTGTTATAACGCAAGTGGATCAAAGTGAGTACTTTTCTACACTGCGAAATGAGATCTTGCTGCAGACCGAGAACATTTCTTTCGACCGTGTTTTCCAAGCCCACACACGCAGTTCTCGAGAAGTTCATAATCTTCTTCCCAAAACAGCTTGGATGCCATCTCAGGGTTCTCCAATAACTTCTTTGAGGTCAGGAATCCGGCGATCGTCCATGTTTGATACAGTCGGGATTGTTTCCCGATGAATCTTCCATATCTTGTGTCGTAATATTCGGGCCATTGATCCGATGAGAGCCTCTTTTCGGCTAAAGCGATTGCTTTTCTTGCAAGTTCTGGCCTCTTCATCTTGATGCAAGCAAGTGTGAACTGAAATAACCACAAACTAAGATTTAAGGACACAAAGGTTTGTGTGGTTGACCCAATCGGGTTTTGCTGGTGTGATACTGATAATCATATGGTACAAATATATAACATGTTCTAGGATTGGGTACCGGCGAGAAGGAGAGTTAAGGTGAGAAGCGTAAGATGAGATGTCCATCGTTGGATGCACATTAGAATGAGATGCACGGAGATGCACCAGATCAATCCATGTATCAAGCGCGATTCATGGGTGGGATTGAGATTAAAGGTGATCAAGGGTCCAAATCCCTTCTTACGCTTCTCACTTTAACTCTCTTTCTCACATAATTCTTTGCTATATGTTCTAATAGATAAATATATCAACATATATATCACAATAGGGTAGTTGCATAATTTCGCCATTTAGTCTAATCCCCTTCTTTTTTGTTCCACCTATTTTGTTGGAACAAACAAACTGCACTTCGGCCCCAACCTAATGTCGCATCAAACGTAAGACAATAAGGGGTTGTTTACTAAACACTCATTGTCTTCGACTAGGTAATGAACACTTGATTTCTCTTATGGGTAAACAACGCTTACCCAATCGGAGATGACGGTCTTAACCAACAATCTTTGTGTGTCATTGTGCTGACCGAGAATCTTACCCGGTAAGGTAAGTGAAGGTGGGTGACTCACCTAAGTGTTAATTTGTGTTGGTTAAAGGCCCCTAAGATTTTGTTATGTCATGTCCCACGTACCAAATTCCCCTCGAGAGACCAATAACATCTAAACAGATTCTCAGGTGACCCTCTAATGCCATTAAGCCAACCTCGTGGGGTTTACTGTTCTTCATGGTCATGACATTTTTTTGTTTTCATCCATTCTATGTAGGTTCTTATTGAGATTCAGTTGCATCATTTCATGCTACTTTAATTCACAAGATATATATAATAAAAATACAAGTAGCAAATTACAGAATCAGGTAAATTTTGTGTTAGATTAACCGTTTTCTACGACTATTATTCTTATATGTGTGTGATAGTCCATCCTAATAGTATATATAGACTCCAACATGGATTGAAAGTGAAAAAGATTGCTTTTTTAACAATGATCTACCCACCAATCCATAACTATGAATCTAGAGACTAAAAGAACCTTGTAATCTGAAATTGACTTGTAAAGAATCTGTAAGCAAGAGTACCTGCCAAAGGAGCGTAGGCCACGATCCGCCATTGTGGTATGACCAAGGGCTGCGAAAAAGAAAAAGAAATACACATGAGCTAGTCTCAAAAGGCCGAGTGTTCCATAACTTTGAGACAAGAACAAAAAAAAGAGATTATTGTTCCTGTGAATCACATATGCATAATTGCTGTGATCTAAGAGCAGTTTATGTTCATTTTTGGTACACTAATGATCACAGCCAAATGGATTTATACAAAGAATCGTAGAGCCTCACGTGTTCTTAGGATCACTTCCGGTGATTACACGCCATTCTTCATACTCAAGTGCAGGGTAACAGATCTTCAAAGGCATATTTGCTACAAGATCATCCCATTTCTCTTCAATCAAGTTCAATATCCCATTGTTCTGTTTGGGGGTACCCAAAGAGGCAACAATAGCCCATAAATTTCCGAGGGTGAAGAACCTAAAATCCATGTGAGCTGGTTGTAAGTTGCCGATAAGATAGCCACCAGACTCTGGAATCCAGTCTACCAACCAAGCTGGAATCTGTTCTGGATAGATGTTGAATTTGTTGATGGCATCAGTAGAGTATTCCTCTGTTTTGTAACGGTAGATTTCGTTGATTTTTTTCATGTCAACCCAATAGTATTCACGAATGTGAAACGAGAGAGCACTTAACCGATTATTGATGGCTGCAACTAGATCCTTTGTTGTGTCATTCACGGTGACCATCTCCCTTGAGCAGCGTAGTGCCGAGTAGAATAGAGCCTGGATATAGACAGTTTATTACCATTTAAAAATAAACTATTAGCATTTCAATTGGGCTCAGTTTATTTTAACCATCTTGAGAATAGTGAAGCTCATGGATACAAATTATCGTTAATCAATCTTTTGTAATGACTACAATGTGGAAACCAAGCCAAACTAAACAAACCAGTAAATAGGGTGTTTTTAGATCGGTTAAATCAGTTTTCGGTCTATTCGGTTCAGGTTAATTGGTTTTCAACTCCTCAAAACTAACTGATAACCAAACCAAATAAGGTTCAGCCTATCGGTTTCGGGTTATTGAGTTTAGTAACTAGTTAAACCAAATAAGAACTCATATTTTTTCATATGACACTTGCTCCAGTAATTTTCCCAAAATTCAATGCCAGTTGCTCCCAATATATAATTATATCATACATTTATACTCAACAATTGATTTGTATCAAGTAAAAAACATCATCTCCCAAAAACTACTATGTACCAAAAGACATTATTTCTTTATGCAAAAAACATCATCTATTATCAAGCAAAAAACATTGTATAGCAATAAAATATGTGAAATAATAATAGTATAATGTGTATTTGATTTATTTATTATAAAAAATGAAATATATAAATACTAGTAGAATGGGTGTGATTCGGTTTAACCAAGTCAGAAAATTTTTTAACCAAAAACCAAACTAAATAAGGTATCCTTATTCGTTAACCAGACTGTTTAACCCGAAAACGTTAACCCAAATTTCATCCAGTTTGGGTGGGTTATTTGATTTCGATTATTTTTGACACCCCTACCAGAAGGTAGGGTCTGGGGAAGGTCAGATATACACAAACCTAGCCTCCAACACCCAAAATAGTAGAGCAATTGTTTCCATGAAGACCCCTAACTTGTGCATAGTGAGGAGAAAAAACAAAAAAAAACACATAAAAAGACATTTAAAAAGAATAACATGAAAACATGGCAGTGCTGCATGATTAAATACTAGTTAGAGGAATGACTACAATGAGCAGAGGTAATTCCTGGATTGGAACTTTACCAAAAAAAAACAACATTTATTTTGGGGCATGGGAGTAACTATGTTCCAAAAGACTTCCCATTTTCTACTATGGGCAGGTGAGTTCGGAAGGAGAAGAAATGCGGTAATAGTATCATGGTGCATCCAGAAGCAACAAACCAAAAATAATCCTAGAATTTTGCAACATTTGACTGAACACATATTTGAAGTAAAGTATTTAACTATTATTGATAAGTTATTTAGAATCCTTCAATAATTATCGAAAAGAAAAGAGATATTTTGAACCAAAACTAGTTGGTATCGACAATTTGTTAGGTAAACAGGTAACTTCAACTTGATATTTTTGCCAAAAAAAAGACCATCACAATTTACACGAGACATCACAAAATGGAAACTGGTTCCTTTTCACGGGCTGGAGAGAGTATATATATGGTTAGAATTGAGATGATTAACAATTTCTTGATCAAATTGTTCTTTTCCTCATCCTTTTGTCTTGAATTGACCATTTTTTCATTGAAGTGGATGCAAATGATGTAATTGATATGATGGCATACCTTAGTATGTAATGGCTAATCTTTTTGTAACCGAACAAATTATGCAATTACAGTTAAAAAGCAGTTGATATAAAAAATTGCGCAACAACAACCCACTATAGAACTGTGGCATCTTTCATATTTAGAAGAAATACAAACAAGTAGAGAAATTATCTGAAGTTCCTTAATAGATAACTTACTTGAATTTCAAGAGGATGACCATGAATGCCCATCCTTCTATCTATCATGCAGGAGCCATCAGTCACCAAGAGAGTGGGAAACATGTCAAACCCATCAGCCAAGCACAATTTGAGTATCAATCTTATTCCTGTTTGAACATCCACCCTCTCTTGCAAAGCGTAGTCACCTGTGATCTTTCCATAAGCTCTCAACAGAATAATCCACCACAAACCTGATCAAAAGTTAAAAACCTAGATCAATAAAATAAACACAGCCAACAAGAACTATGCTAAACTATTGAACAAACTATTCCCAATTCATTGCTTAACATTGTGTTCTTGTAACCTTCTTTATGATGGAAAGGGAAGGGAGCAGAAGGAAACGAGCCCATGTTCTCAAAATCTTTTAGGAGAGAAAGGAAAGAAATCAGAAGAAAAATAAGTGATAAGTTTCCTCCCAAATGTGGGAGGAAAAGGAAGGAAAAAAAGATAACCCTTGAAAGGATTAGTAACATTACAAAGCTACTCATCATTTACAAACCAGATAAGGGGTATATTTGTAAATATGACATATTCCTTTCTCTCTTGTTTAAGAACATGAAAAATTATTTTCTTCCCTTGCCTTTACTTTTTTCAAGAACACCGATAAAATCTTTTCTTTTCTTTTCTTCTCAAAGTCAAGAACACAACGTAAGTAATTGATCTTAGGGTCTGGAAAGTACTGGCTTACCAGAATCAACAGGTGCAACACGTCCAATTGCTGATTCACCAAAATCAGGATCCAGAACATCCTCAAATTCCCCAGTTTTTCCATCAAGAGGCACACTTCGAACCTTAAAGCTCGCTGGCATCAACCCTTGCCCAGGGCTGTGGCAGTCAACTGTTTTTTCCCAACTCTGGCAACAAGAGAACAGAGAGAAACTCAATGGACGCTTCAAGTAAGAAAGTGTATTACCTCCTATTACTACAAAAGCTCTAAATGATAAGTTGTGATAACATAAGCTTGCAAGAATTAAGAAGCATGTTGCATATGATGTAGTTATCAATTAAGGAATCATCATACCACAGATATTTCGAATAAAGGGTTCCCCCTAAACATGCTCAACAAAATTCTATCTGTATGTGAATCGTGTATATAGGCAGTAAGCCAGTAACTGGAAAAATACACACCTGAATGGCTTTAAATGTCTCGATTAAGAAGATTTACGATGTTTGCATACTATAAGTCACAATCCCTATGCATTGGGGCTATGCAACATTTTCATTCTGAGCACAAGATTACTATGGTGAAAGAAGAAATGAGAAGGTGAGTCTATGTTCATTTAGTTGATATATGGAGAAATGACACAAATGACATGTTGAGAATGGAGGGAAATTGTGTAAACAGATGGAACCTTAAAAATTCTAGAAAACAATAGACATAAACATAATGCAAAGCACGTTAGGATTTTGACATGAGTAAATAAAAGAATAACTTCAGTGCATCAAGGCTCCTCGGCTTTGCCAGGATATGGGACTGAAGTTTGTGTATGCAGCCTCCATTGCTCTTGCAACAAGGTTTGTATCTATGAGACTGATACGAGCAGATGACCTTTCCAGTCACAGAGAAGAGAAGTAACTATATAGGTTGTACATATATCTACTCTCTTTAGACACACATAGCCAAACAAAACAGTAAGCACAGGCATGCCAAATTTAATGGTACCAAACAAGCTATACAAACCTTAGTTTAGTAATTTGAGTCTCTATAGAGACTTCACAGACCTGGATATATGAATTCCTTTGCCATTCAAAAATTGGATACAGCTTCAGTATTGAATCCAATGGAGAAAAAAGTATTCAACTTAGGTCATGTTTGGCAACCATAAGCTAACTTATTTTTTAAGCTTATACAAAAAGTTTGTTTTGTTTAGCCAATAGCTAGCATTTTGAAATAGCGTTTCAATGAATTCCAGTGGCTTTTTTTCACTTTGTTTTTCCAATTATGCTCCTTATATTTTTCCAGTTAAATTTTTTAGCATGTGCTTTTAGCTAATTTTTACCGACCACGACTATTTTTATTATCTAACAACAAATAAACTAAAACTAGATAAACATCAAATATGAACAACATTTTGTAATAAGACAGAAGGGAAGAATCTTGACAGGAAAAATATTAGCAAATAAATCAGTGATTACCTGCAATTGAAGAGTATGGAGCAAAAAGTTCTTGACAATCTCTCCTTCTCCATTGAGCAAGAATGCAAATGCCGAAGGAACAAAATCACGAATAAAGACCTGATCATAGTTCAGTGGCAGCTTATCAGCTGGATCAGTTGCCGCAACAGTTCCAACCGGAGTTCCACAGTAATTCACAATTGACCCTCTAAGCAACTTCCAAGCTTCCCTCTCAATCTCAGACTCCTTGTCTAAAACAGTATCCTGAGACTCTATATTTACATTTGAACTAGTATAATCTAATACTTTCTCCTCATTTTCCTCTTTCCCTTCCACCTTGTCGATCACCAGAGGCTTCACATTCAATCCCCCTTGAATGTAAATTCGTTCCCAGCTTGTGTCATTAACATGGGATTCAACCGATGTTGAATGATTCCTAAAATCCGAGGCCACTTTAGATACAAGCCTGCTGAATCTTCTATCATTTCCTCCCACCAGACAACCATTCAATAAAACCCTAGGCTGTCCTTTCAAATTCGAAGCAGAACCACAAAAACCCTTCTGATTCGAGTAAATTGCATCTCTAAACCCTAATTTCGGATCAATCACACCTTCTCTAAAGCCTAAAAGTTTACTGTTACAAGAATGAATCCCGCGGGAACCATGTAACTTAAATCGAGATTTCGACAAATTGATCACAGGTGAGTGATTACATCTAGGGATTTGAAAACCAAAAAGTGAAGATCTTCTGTAACTAATTAAGATCCTACAGCAACATGGTTTCATCGTGGATAATCCAATACCACTATAACTACCCATTTCCGCTATTGATCCAATTGTCAATCTTTCTATATATCTTCAAATTTTCAGGAAAAAGATGTTCTTTTTTGTAGAAAAATATACAATCAAAATCAAGATCTATAAAAAGGAAAAACTGTAGATCTGTTGAGCTCAGAAAAAGATTGAATCAACAGTAGTTATATAGGAAATGATCTTTGTATATATATATATACAGCCAATTAAGCAAATATATAATACTATGCTAAGAGAATAAAGGGAATTAGAGAATTTGACTTACAGAAAACGATTGTGATCCAAAGTAGTGTGTGTTTATGGTGTTCGTGTGTGTTTATTTTGGTTTTAATTGGACGAGATGAGGTAGCTTAAAGGTATTAGATGGAGGGGTATATATAGGCGGATTCCAATTTCCAAGAAATGAATTGGGGTGATAGAGGATGACACGACACGACAAGTGACACATGTGAATTTACTATTAAGCCCTCGCACGTGATTTACATTTTCATTTCTACTCTATTTGTGGATATTTTGAAGAGCTTTTCTTACAAGCGCCACTTCAAACTAGAGATGGCCAAATGGGCCCAGCTCGGCCCGTAACCGATGAAGGATCGGGACCGGGACCGGGACCGGAGAGGGACCGGTTGAGGGATCGTCGGTTATGATCCGGTTAGGGTTTTTGACGTTTTTTGGGATCGGGACCGGTTATGTAACCGATTATAGGCCCGGCCCAGTCAACGAAAGTCAACGAAACGTATATATATAATAAACCGTATTTTTATTATGTATTTTTAAACATATTTACAACAAAACGTATTTATAAACGTATATATATATATATATATATATTACAAAACGTCTTTATAAACGTATATATATATATTACAAAACGTCTTTATAAACGTATATATATATATAACAAAACGTATTTATAAACGTATATATATATATATACTAGAAGCGTACTCGCGCAATGCAGCGAGATACATCGTGAGTTTAATATTTTATTTTATTCTTTTATCTCAGTCGATGTTATAACATGGCTTTATGTGATTTTAAGAAAGCGATGATGTTTTTATTTTTAAATAAAATATATGTTTGAAGATATCATAAAAATTTGACAAAAATATATCGATATTAGTATCAAATTAACTATTTGAAATTCCTTATTTTTTGTGTAATTTTTTTATAATTTAATTTATATTCAATAACGAAGTAACTTATATTTGGTTTAATAATATAATTTTTCTATAAAGATAATAATTATTTATTTTGTTGAAACTCGATAATTATTCTTATTATATTTTAGATTTTTTATATTTTAAAATAAGATATTCATCCTCTATTTGATTATGTTTATCCGTAGTTATTTATACGAATTCAAACATCGAGCTTTAATAAGTTGTACTTATGCATAATTACTTGTAATCTTGAATTTTAAGTAATATGCATCAATATATAGTATTTATGCATAACAAAAATATATCGATATTCGTATCAAATTAAGTATTTAAAATTCCTCATTTTTTGTGTAATTTTTTAATTCAAATTTTTATTATAATTTAATTTAGGTACAGTAACGAAGTAATTTATATTTGGTTTAATAATATAGTTTTCTTATAAAGATAATAATTAATTATTCTGTTAGAACTCGATAATTATCCTAATTATATTTTAGATTTTTAATATTTTAAAATAAAATATTTATCCTCTATTTGATTATATTTATCCGCAATTAGTTATACGAATTCAAAAATCGAGATTTGATAAGTTGTACTTTTGCATAATTTACTTGTAATCTTGAATTTTAAGTAAA